CCCCCCCCCCCCCTTCTGTTTCCATAACTCTAACCTTTGGCAGCCCAGAGATCTGCTGTCAGGTCTGGCAGGGTTTGTAAGAGTGATTACTGTTTTTATACACTGGGAGAGGCCTGGCAAGGTCATGCAAAAGGCAAATGGAACTGAAAATGAGTGGTCAGGGACCAGGAGGTGAGGGGGCATGCCCACAGTAACCTCAAGTGACCAAGTGGAGCAGAATGGGTCCCCACCCCTAAGCTTATTGTGGTATGAGGTGCTGAAGGTAGCATTATTCATTTTATGACCCCCATATACAGATGCTGAGACAACTCCAGATTGCAGGTCATGAGGAACAGCCCACAGAACCAGTTTCTTCCAACCAATGAATTAGGTTATTAAACAATCTAATCCTGTTTGTACATTACCTTACAAACAGGTAATGTAACCAAAGGGCTAGTTGGAGAAGAATGAGAAACAGCCTTTAGCTGATGATATTACTCTACATACTAGCCTTCCTCAAACTAGCTTCTTCTAGATATGCTGGATTACAGCTCCCATGGTCCCTTAGATAGTGCTGCTAAGATGGGAGCTGTATATCAAAGTATCTTGAGAAAAATGTGTGTGTGTATATGTGTGTGTGACATATTATGTCACGTGAGCAAGTTTTCTAAGAGTTTATTAGAGCAGGTAGAAGCAGATACTTCCTGAAAGACTCCATTCGACTACTGATTAAATCAGAGACAGAGAGGTGTGAATGCGGAAGGGATGCCCTTACCCGAGACCCATGGCAAGTGAACCCCTCCGCGTCGTCTTCATCCCGGCAGAGGGCTCTCCGCAACCGCTCCAAGTGCTCCCTGAGTGTGACCCTCTGATGGAAAGAGAAGGCAGGGTGCAGAGACGCCATGGTGAACAGGAGTAACAGCTCTTCTTGCGCCACCAGACCCAGGCCCTCCGCCGCCGCCGCCTCAGGCCCAGCTAAGGCGGCCTCCTCCTCTTCGCCTCCTTTCCTCCCCGGGCGCAAGGGCCCGAGCGATCGGCAGCTCTGCAAGATGGAGTCCACATGGGGCAGCAGGCGATGCAAGCGGCTGGCAGCCTCGCGGTTCTCGGACCCCAGGAGCGCCAAATAAACGATGAGCTTGGAGCGCACCGCGGGGTCGCGGAAGTCGCTGCCGCCGAGCGCGAGGAGAGG